CTGTGACGTTGCCTCTCCTGGTGTTAGCACTTTCACTACCAAATTCACACATTCAGAGGCATGAGAGGGCAGGGCAACCTGCTGATGTTTTACAATATCAGGATTTCATGCCCCCACCTGCGTGTTTTCTTTTTGTAAGACATTTCACAGTTCTGCTGTAGTTCAGGCGAGGGTGGAAATGTTGACTGTTACTCAGCATGCTGGCTGCCCCTTTCTGTCCTCTTCAGTGGCCTGGACATGGGTGGTAGAAGCAGGAAAGATCACTTCAGTGTGGATTTTATGTGGGCTGAGGAGTAGAATCTAGGAAGGGCAGCTACTGATTTGGTAATGGCAGCAGAGAAAAAGATCATAAGAGTATCACAGTTCACTTCCATCTTGTGTCACCTGGGCCACATTACAAATGAATGTGAAAACACACACACACACACACACACACACACACACACACACACAATGAATGTGAGAACTCAAGAGGCAAGCTAGCAGCTGACCTCCTATCTGGTGCTACAAATCAAAACAAAATTCCCTGATTTTCAAGGGACTTGTTTGCTGTTCAGGTTAATCAGCAGTTTACACCTTATTTCACTGCTGTGAGATGCCTGTGTTTTACATTTTTACAACTCACATTGATACAGGGAACCTCCAAATGGCACAGGGAGAAAAACTGATCTCTCAACCTAAAAGGTACCTGGGACAAGATCATGTGCTCTAAAATCGGAGAATGAATTTTAGGAACAAACAGAGGTTATGAGCAGAATATATTTATTGAGGGAAAGCAAGCTGCTGTCCCAAGAGAGGGACAGGAAGGGGCCCTGAGCAGGTGGTCCCCCAAGAAGCTGTCTCTTCCAGGGACTTTTATAGAGGAAAATCATGCGGTGAGGCAGGTCTAAGGTGGTGGAGAAGAGATGGGAACTTGCTTAGGTGGGCTTGAGGCGGGACAAAGCTGTGGTCAACCAATGAGATTCCAAGCACCATTGCTCAGGTAAACTTGATTAAATCCAGTACCAAATGGGGAAGTGCGTCACATAGCAAGCGCGCATGAATACAGGACTGAGTCTCTTCCTTTTGGATGTTGGGCTAGTGACTCATTTGGGCTCTTTCAAGGTGATTGATACTAATGTAGAATATCAATCCCTGATGCCCATCCCTAGGGAAGTATGTTGCTGTGTTTCCTCCTTTTATCTTGGTCTTGAGCTGTGACCCATATGGGAGTGTCTGTCTCTTCTGCGTTGCAAAGTTACCTTGTCTTCTATCTTGTCTCTTTGAGGGCTTGGGTTGTCTGACTGCTGTAATATTTCTATCTAATTCAGCTGCCTACAACATCTCATGGTACTGTGCACCTCATAGTTGGTGATGTAGTTTAACTGGCAGCTCTTGTTTCCTTGGTGGTACATTAAGTGATGATATGCTTTATAATCTGTACTGTTGCAGATTTCATGAGCACGTGCTCACTTCGGCAGCACATATACTAAAATTGGAATGATACAGAGAATATTAGCATGGCCCCTGTGCAAGGATGATATGCAAATTCATGAAGCGTTCCATATTTTTTAAAATAGAAAGGTATAACACAATTAAAAGGAAAGCGAGAACTTAAGGATTAGACAATGAAGAGAGGGCAAGGAGAAAAGCTAGGAAACATGACAGGGGCAAAGCTGTACATTTATATGCACAAGATAGTTAAGGCAATGATCCTGAGAATCTTTAGCAGGTTTTTGAAACTAGCAGTTAATTGGTAGGATTCTCACCCTGACTATGTATGCTGATACCTGTGAACTAAGCAACTGCACTGAAGATAGCAATATGTAATAGAAGTGTCCCGCTTGGAATGTCTCCTGTCATTCTGGTCTTCTAAATATGTACTGCTTGTCATGTTATACTAATTACTGCCATACTGTCTCTCAAGTAAAAAAATTTTTTAAGGGGTAATAAATGAAAACAAGAGACAAAAAAAAAAAAAAGATTTCATGAACACTTAGTAGGGGCTGGGAGCTAGTAAAGTCAGGCAAGACAGTGCTAATGTTTTAAGCATGAAGTGCACTCCGAATGTTTATAAAAAGTAAATATTTGGTTTTAAGATTCTTGTTGACTGAGTATGGCGGTGTACACCTGTCGTCTCAGCACTTGGGAAGCTGAGGCAGGAGTATTGCTGTGAACTTGAGGTCAGCCTGGGCTACATAGTGAGTTCAAGACCAGCCTGGATGACAGAGCAAGGCCCTGTCTCAAAAAAAAAAAAAAAAAAAAAAAAAGAGTTTTGAATAGCATTTGATCAGGACAGTTCAGACTCTTAGATGTCTTCCCAGTTATTCCTTAATAAGACTCAAATTTTAGGATCATTTTTGTGGTTCTTATGGTCCAAGCCTTTTGTGTTCCGTTTATTACAAATCTTGCTTATTTTCTTTCCCAGAAATCCTCAGTGAATTTCATTTGGTTGGTCATGTCGTTAAGCTGCTTTTACTGTTATCAGTTTCACTAATCTCTTAGATTAGCCTACTGGCGTTGCAAAATCTTGAGGTTTTGAGCACATCTCTGTGGCCCACCTCTTAATTTTGAACATCTATTTGTGCATTGTGTTTTACCTAGAAAGAATCTTAAAGTGATAGTAAGTTGTCTGAGGAACCATTTTTTGTTCTTTTTTTTTTTTAATTGTATTTATTTGTGTGTGTGTGTGTGTGTGTGTGTGTGTGTGGCCAGCTCAGCCCACCAGGGGGCAAAGATGGCTGGCATGTGGTGCTGGGGGATTGAACCGTGGTCCCTGTGTTTTGCTAAGCTTGTTCTAAATAGGTGCTTTAGACCACTGAGCCATCTCACCAGCCCCCATTTTTTGTTCTTATGTTCTACAGAAACACACACACACACAGCATATATGTGTCTTACTCCTCCCTCCCTCCCTCCCTCCTCTCTTTCCTCCCTCCTTTCTCTCTTTTTTCCTTCCCTCACTCCTTCCTGTGGGGGCACTGAACCCAGGGGTGCAAACATACTAGGAGAATGCTGTATCACCAAGTTACATCTTAGCCCTTTGGAAAAATTTTATTCTGAGACAGTATCTCACTGAGTTGCCAAAACTGACCTCAAACCTGCAGTCCTCCAGCCTAAAGCCTTCCAGGTAGCAGTGATTACAGGCATCTACCACTGTGTGCTGTATGACACTGTATTCATTAGACTTCTGATTTAGAATTAAAGATCACCATGACATTCACATAGTTTATATTTAGACTTGAAGTACATACATGTGCATAGAGTTTCAAAGTAGACTCTTGGAACATTTACAGAAAAAGTTATGTAGTGAACGGCAGTAAGGCAGTTCCTTAACTCCAAGAACTTTGGTAAACAAAGTGTGACCTATTATCACATGATACATGAGATCTTGAAGCTGTCAAACTGCTGGGTATCTAAATTCAGCACCCCTGATCTTGGACATTCACGAAACTTTCTGTGCCTGAGTGCTTCTGTCTGCAGAATAGAAATAACAGCACCTACTTCATGGTCTGTAAGGATTAATTTGGGTAGTGCCTGTAGAGTGGGTGACAGCATGCCCTGCAGAAAGGACACATAATGGATGTTAGCTCCCTTTTTTTTTTTTTTTAATTAATAAGGTGTCATTTCAAGAGTGATTCTTTCATGGATTATTGGTTAAGTAAGAAAATGAATTCTTAGTAAGAAATTTTAATTCTGTGATAGAAAAGTATCTTTTGACTCAGTGCTTCTAGGAAATTCCTGTAGTTAATTGAACATTTTCTTGAAATAGGGGTGTGAATTCCATGAAGGTAGGGGCTCTCTGTTTTGTCTACTGCTTTGCCTCTAATATCCTGAGTAGTGCTTGACTCACAATAGATGCTCAATAATTTTATTGGATGAAAAAGGAACAAAGGCTCTTGAAAGCTAGAAATATTTTATTTTATAGAATAAAGTATGTAAGTTTTTCTACTCTATAATAATTCTAAATGATGTGTTAACAATGAAATCAAGAGTAGTTTTATTGAAATTACTAGAAACCTAAAGTGTATTAAAATGAAAGGATTTTGAGGGCTTTATTTATAAACTGAGATACTAGTTTGACAGTATATAATTAATGTACCAATGATCATGCAATTTCAAGTTATTTCATGTGAGAAGCAGAATTTAGAATGCTTCTGTACTTTGCCAGCGGCATGTGCCTACTTGCAAGGCTGAGGCAAAAAGAGTGCGTGAGCTCAGAAAGTATGGAGCCAACCTGGGCAACACTGCAAGATCCCACTTCAAGGAAGAAAAGAAAAAGCACTTAAAATAATGAAAGTTGTTTACAGATATTTGCATTTGTTATCTCTTGATCAGCAGGTTATAATTAATTAAATTTTTTTTCCTTTTGGACTGAGAGTTCAATTCCTGGCACAAAAACTAAATAAATCATTATTTTATTCCTTATTGTCTAACTCTTTCTAAAAACCAGTAATATCTGAATTTAAAAATGCCCACTCCGTCCTTATTTATCACGTGATTATGGTGCCTTGCTCATTCTTTTAGACACTGGTGATTCTGCTGAACCAGAAGAATGGTCTGTCTTTTCTAATACAGGGGGAGAAGGTATAATAGTTAGGAAAGGAAGCCCTACATTTACAGACAGGAAACTGAAGGCTGAAGATGTTAAATTTGCTGGCTAGAAGCCATTGTACAGCTGATACAGAAATGCCACCCACTTGCTTTTTAGGCCACTGCCTTTTTCATTATACCATTCTGGCTTTCTTGACTCTCAAGAACACCGTCTGTATTCTTGAACATTTTAAATCAGAGCGTTAGTTTTGCTGGGATTTCATGAAGGAATTCTGTTTCAGGCAGCACTGTATAGAGTAAAGGAATTTTGCCTGTAGAACATTTAGCAAATCCTGTGAGCTTTTTGGACTCTTTTTCCATCTGAGAAGTAAAGAGATTATCCTTGGAAATTTTGAGAGTAGGACTTGCTCATTACTGTGTCGTCTTACTTGATTTGGAGTTATGTGTGTGCGTGTGTGTTTTCTCTACAGCGATACATACTGCTGCTATGGACATGCTGGGAGGATCAGGTATTGAAAGCCAATGTCGAAAAGTGGAGATAATTGCTGATGCTGCATATTCCATTTTTAAAAAGCCTAAAAGCTTTACTGGCAACTTTGTTATTGATGAAAATATCTTAAAAGAAGAAGGAATAAAAAATTTTGATGTCTATGCAATTAAACCAGGTAATGTACAACATTTGAATGTAGTGATGTGTTTTCTTATATTTTCTGCATTGAACACAACTGTGTGTATATGATTATGAAAAGAATATGTTCTTTAAAAGCTCTTCCCATTGAAGGGAAAACCCCATGCCATGTGGGGTTTTTTGTTTGTTTTTGAGACAAAATCTTGCTATAGAGTTTAGACTGGCTTTTTCTTTTCTTTTCCTTTTTTTTTTTTTTTTTTTTTTTGAGACAGGATCCCACTGTGCAGTTCAGACTGGCCTTGGACTCACTATGTAACCTAGACTGGCCTTGAACTTGTGGCAATCCTTCAAGCTCAGCTTCCCTTGTGCTGGGAGGGGTACAGGGATGTGTGCCATCATGCCTGGCTGGCTCCACACGAGCACTATGTGTGAGAGAAAGAACAAATAAAAGTTGAGTTGAGGCTTTTTGAGGTGGTACACAAAGGCAGATTATCACTTATTTGCCATTTCCAAATTCTGAAACCAAAAATGAAAATTAGTTTTTAAAATTGGTCCTTTAAAAATCAAAATAATGATTTTATTTAAAAATGTACCTATATCTCTCTATTTCTGTCTCTATATCTGTGTCATCTACCTGTGTGGCATTGAGCTTCAATTTCCTTATTGTAAAATTAAGAGAATGTTCATTTCTGCATAGGATTTCTGTTAGAAGTGTATGTCACAACATACATAATGTGTTTGGAAAGAACTCAAGCACGTAGCACACACACAATATTCATCAGTTAACATTTTAAGTGGAAAAAAAATTTTAGAAAACATTTTAAGTGGAAAACTAGGTCCAGAGAGATTAAGACTTTTCTAAGAGCAGATGGCTAATAAATTACAGAACCTAAACCAGACCTGGTTCTTCCAGGCCTTAGTGCCATGTAATGATCACTTTTGGTTTTGAAGCCATAGTATCTTTATATAGAAAATTTAAAATTTTGTGTACTTAACAATTGTATCTTAGGGCCGGCCAAACAGCTAGCATATTAAAGCACCTGCAAGCAGGTGCAGGTGCTGGGGGGTTCGATCCCTGGGCCTGCTATGCCAGTCCCTCCCCAGAGGCACACTGAAGACAGTAATTGAGACTGGGCATGGTGGCACATACCCGTAATCCCAGCTCTTGGGAGGCTGTAAACAGACAGATCACTAGTGAGACCCTGAACACCCTGTAGACCCTTCCCTAAAATACAAAACAAACAAGCAATAAATTGTATTTTAGTATTGAAAACTTAACATGATCAAGTACTGAAATACAAGGATATCAATTGATAAAAAATATCAACTTATTGCTGCCCCCCAGAAGTTTGTTTAATCTTTAGAGAGAGATGGTTAGTATCTGATTTTACTACAATTTTGGAGACGTTTTGGCCTTTAGATCTCCTGGCATACATATGTCTTGCAGGTATCTATGTCATGTTAAGATAATTAACTAGCTGGTTATGGCAGTGTATGCCTGTAATCCCTGCACTTGAGTCTGAAGTAGAAAGATTATAAATTTGAGGTCAGCCTAGGCAATTTAGCAAGACCTTGTCCAAAAAAAAAAAAAAAGCTGGGGATGTAGCTCAGTGGCGGAAGGGTTGCTTATCATGTGAAAGGTAGTTAATTTTTTAACCATAGCTGTTGGCTGAAATTAGGACCTAATGGAAGATGATAACTTGGTTTTCATGACAGAGAAAAATAGAAAAGACTCAAATACATTGTTGTGTAGAAGCAAGTCCTTCCTAATGAGGACCTCTGCTTGTGGAGCCTTGGTAAGAAATGAGTTCCTGAGCACTTGGAGGGTGGAAAGGTTGTAAGAATAAGGAGGGCAAAGGCTGGAGTGGAGCTGAAGACTTTACATAAAGGGTGATTCCCTGCCTCCTACTGGAATTGAATGCAGGACCTTCACACTGGACTGTGTTCCCAGTTCTTTTTCTGTTTTTTATTTTGAGACAGTGCCTGTCTTAGTCACTGAGTTGCCTAGGCTGGGCTCTTTCCACAGACTGCAGAGTGCTGGGATTATAGGTGTGTGTCAGCACGCCTGTTTATAACAGATGATTTTTTTTTTTTTTTTAAACGGAACCAGGGATTGAACTCAGGCCCTTGCGCTTGCCAGGGAAGCACTTATTCCACTGAGCCATCTCCCCGGCCCTATAACATGATTTTTAAAAATTTTTAAAATGAAGGTGAAGTTTGTCATAGAAGAAGAGGAAAACTGAGTTACAGAAAGATTAATAAAGATCAAGTAGCTTGACAGTTCTTTTGGGGGCTTTTCTATTGCTCCAAGATAATCTTGTAAACATACATAATGTTTATTTAACAGATATTAAAATCATAATGCATCATTATCTTTATGTTAACCTGATTATTTTGGGGTCAATTTTTCAGGCCATCCTCTGTTACCAGATTTTTTCTTAGACGAACATCCAGATGCAGTTATGAAGAAGACGGGATCACAGGGTAAGATCTAAACTGTATTTTATGAAGGAAAATACAGGTTGTAACTTGTTTCTTCCAAAACATGGAATTGATCACATGACAGTCAGATTTCTGCTTCTGCTTCTGAACCACTTTGTAATTTAACTAAACAAGTTATACAAGTTCTCAAAGAATTCTAGCCAAAAAAGAAAAGAATTGTGTACCAGTAAGATACTCTTGATGTGCTCATGCAACCTGGACTGGCCTTGAATTTTCCGCCCTTCTGCCTCAGCCTCACAAGTGCTGAAATTACTGGTGTACACCACAATATTCAACTCATGTTTGGTTTTTTAAAAATAGTTGTCTGCTGAAGTTTTATTTTTCTTTACACACTGTCTTTACTATGTCATTTCGTTTTGAGGAAAAGTACATCACATCAAAATACACCTCATAGTTTTCACTGTGCTGTGTAAGTATAGAAGAAATTAACTTCAAGGAGACTTTTACTTTCTTTTGTTTCTGTAACTCAAAAACAATGGCCCCTTGAATTGGTCTGGAGTATCCCTTTCAGCCCTTTGGTTCTGGCACTATGCCAGTGACTTCCTGAAAGGTGTTTAAAGAAACCAATACCTGTGGAAAGAGTTGCTCTCAGGGCTAACAAGAATGCCTCTCTTTCTTCTGGGTCCTTACCTTGTTTTTGATCTTAGAGATTCCATGAACCTCATACATGATCATAGATTATTTTTTTTAAAAGAAGGCTGAGAATTTGTGAACATATTCCCCTATATCTTTAGCAAATCTATAGGACCTCACCCTAAGGCACTTTAGTGCCATAGCTTATTTCCTCTTTAGTTATATCTTTTCTGTGTTTTATCTTTTGTTTGTTCAAATTGTTGTTGTAATCTAAAAAAGTTACTTTCATAATAAAAAGAGTGGGGCCAGGGAGATGGCTCAGTGGAATAAACGCTTCCAGGGTCTATAGGATCTATAGGCCTGAGTTCAATCCCCAGTTCTGCCAAAAATAAATAAATAAATAAATAAATAAATAAATAAATAAAGCGAGCAACTTTTTTGTATTATAGGAGTTCACAAAATTTTGAAAACTATAACAAGAAACTAGTAACTCTCAATCTTACCACTCAGAGATACCCCTTTTAAAAATTAGATCTTTGGGTCAGGGAGATAGCTTAGTGGCCTAAATGCCTGCCTGGCAAGTGTAAGGTCTTGAGTTTAATCCCTGGTTCTGGGATGGGAGGTGAGGGGAGAAAATTAGATCTTTGACTTAGCTCCCATTTGGATATATCAGAGTATGAAAACCAGAAAAAAAAACCAAATAAGCTTGCCAGCCCCTTTTCAAAAGGCCTCTTTGAGAAAGGCAGAAGTAAGTTACCTAGAATCTTATAATGTCTTTAAAGGTATGATCTTCAAGGTAGGTAAGTCTCAAATCATGATTTTTTGTTTACTGGCCTAAGATAAAGTCTTATCTTTTAGAGAAAGACATACATGAACTGATCTCGTGTGTGTGTGTGTGTGTGTGTGTGTGTATTTGTTACAGAATCTCTCTATGTAGCTCAGAGTGGTAGTGATCCTCCTGTTTTAGCCTCCTCAGAGCTGAGATTACAGGTATGTGCCACCATGCCTGGACTCCGGTCACAGGTTCTGCATGCCAGGGGACAGGGCCAGCATGGCATGCAGTACCAGGGATTGAATCCAGGTCCTTGTGCTTGCCAGGCAGGTGCTTAGACCACTGAGCTATCTCCCTGCCCCTCCATCATTTAAATTCCAAGATTTAGCATGGGGAGATAACTCAGTAGCATAAGCACTTGCCTGGCAAGAGCAAGGTCCTGAGCTCAATCCCCAGTACTGCTAAATAAATAAATATATAAATAAATTCCAAGATTTAAATAAGGACCGCTTAGATTGTGTCTTTATTCTGTTTATTCAACAAATACTTATTGGGCAACACTCTCTGTCAAGTACTGTGCTGATTACATCTCATATGCTGTGTTCTTAATACTTGAGATCTGACAAGACAGGTATTTTCCTTCTTGTCAGTCGTCATTACACAGCTGGCAGGTAGCAGAGCCAAGATTTAAACTTGTTTCTCTGATTCCAAAGCCTGTGCCTTAGCCAGTATGCTTAGAGAGATTGTTTAGCATCTGAAAAAAAAAAAAAAAAAAAAAAAAAAAAAATATATATATATATTTTTTTTTTTTTTTTTTTTTAATGTATTTAGGACAGGGTCTACAGGGTCTATAGGATCTTACTACGTAGATCAGACTCAGTGATTCTCCTGTTTTCAGCTTCCCAAGTGCTGGGATTGCAGGCATGTGCCACCATGCTCAGTCTCAGTTGCTGTCTCAGCGTTCCCCAGGGGCAGGGTGGGCACAGCATACCTGGGATTGAACCTGGCCGCTACGCTCTTCCTAAGCAGGTGCTTTAGTCCACTGAGCTATCTGGCCAGCCCAACATCCCAATACTTAAAGGCCCTTTCAACTAGCATATTAGTTTGTCTAGGAATCCCACTTCCTAATTTCTGATGAGGAGGTACCATCTCACGGATGGAGCATGCAGTCGCTGTGATCGGCACGTTCTTTCCTGTTGGGCGTAATTACACAGACAGCACAATCATAATCATGAGTTGTTTTATGACTGAAGAACCAGAGCCAGCGGATTTGAATAAGTACAACATGAGGTAACTATTTCCTGGTGCCAGGCTTTGATAGAAATGATTTTGCCCGTAGTCATCGCCACACGAAGTGTGCTCTTATCTATAACCTTTGAGGTCAGAACCCTCAAATTTTTTTCCCTGACTTTCCCAACAAAAAGCCAGAGAAAGCATTTACTTTTTTTTTTTTTTTTTGGTCTTTTGGTGACAGGGTCTTGCTATACAGTTCAGACTAGCCTTGAGCTCACCTTGCAGCCCACGCTGGTCTCAAACTGGAAGTGATCCTCCTGTCTCAGCTTCCCGAGTGCTGGGATTACAGACGTGTGCCACCCATCATGTCTGACAACTTCTTTTTTGTTTTCAAGTATAAAAATATGGAATGCTTCACAAGTATGCATGTCATCCTTGTTCAGGGGCTGTGCTAATCTTCTCCACATCATTCCAATTTTAGTGTATGTACTGTCAAAGGAAGCATAGCAAATAGCATTTTTGTTCTATTTTTTGTGGTTCCAGTAATATCAGTAGTAATCTTTAGGGGCCAGTGAGATAGCTCAGTGGACTTAGTACCTGCTTTGGCAAGTGCAGGGACCAGGGCTCAATCCCCAGTCCCGCAAGCCACGCCGGCCCTGCCCTGGAGCACGCTGAGCCTTGACTGAGTCTGGAAGTGGTGGTGCATAACTGTAATCCCAGTGCTGGGGAGGCTGAAAACAGGAGGATCACTCAAGTGACTCTGTCATGTGGTGGAGGGGGGATCAAACCCCAGTCCCTGCACTTGCCTAAGGAGGCACTTAGTCCACTGAGCTATCTTGCTGGCCCCACATTTTCTTAATCCACTCATCTGTTGCTGGACATATAGGCTACTTCCAAGACTTAGCTCATAAGAATTGTGCTGCTGTCAACATGGGTGCATACATATCACTGTAATATGGTGTGCGTGACTCTTTCAGGAAGGTACTTGGAAGGAGAATAATATAATATTGTCATTTACTTTGTTAATTGCCCCATCTCCACCCCCTGCTGAAACACAAAGCAAAGCCTTCCCTGCCCCTTTCTCCCCTCTCCCCTCCCCTGCCCGTCTTTTCTCCTCCCTTCCCCTCCCCTTCCTTACCTTACTTGCTGTCTTACCTTCTTGCATTCCTTTCTTTGTTGTAGTTTAGTGGTCTCTGTTCCATCTGTCCTGAATTCTCCTCAGAAATATGTTTTTTTCACCTGGCTGCCCTTCACTTTCCCCTGAAGTTAGTACCACTTCTCATTAGACCATGTTTGTTTGTTTGTTTTCTTTATCCTGGGAAACTTTGTCTAGTTTATCCCAAATAGGGAACAATCTGACAAGATTTTTCTACACTTTACTGTGTTCCATAGTCTGTTCCATATTGTTTAATTTTTGCTATTGTGCCTTTGTTTCTCAACTCACCTACTTTCTATTTTACTTTATCCTGTTATCTCCTCATCTTGTCTTAGCCAGCTGTGTGACTTTCTGCATCTGCTTCATATAGTGTTTTCTTAAGACTAATTTTTAGAGCAGCTTTAGTTTGACGATAAAAGTGAGAGGAAGGCACCCAAAGAACCCCATGTAGTCTGTGCCGCACGCATGCACAGCGTCCATCAGCGTCTTCCACCAGAGGAGTTACTTGTTATAGTTACAGAAGCCACACAGTATAATCATCTAAATCATTTAGCTTTTATGTGGAGGAGATCTTGTGGTGTTCACAGTAAATTATTTTTAGAAATAGACTTTTCCTCCATGATCCTTATTCTTTATTACTTTTTCCCATCAGGTTATGTTTCCTCCCTGTTAATCCCTGCTTCTATGAGGAGATCTCTCTAGAGCTAGTGTGGTGAAATGCCAGGAATGTTAAGGGTGCTTCAGGCCCTGCTCCATGTCCATCTGTTGGAAATGCTCTCTCTAAACCTGTTAGACATGTAGCCAGGACCAGTCCATGGGGCTCACTGACATGGGACCTCCTTTCTCTCCTCTGCCAAGAGGCCTCTCTCCAGCATCCCTGCTGCCAAGGCTCCTTCTCCTCCTGTCCTGTGTCAGCTGTGCTCTCAGACATGTGCTTTCTAGAAGGCGCCCACCTGGGGCTCCCACCTTTCCCAGATGTCTGACCCAGTGCTATACTTTCAGGAATCATTTCTTTTTTTTTTTGTCTTTTATTTTATTTTCCTATTTTCATGGCTTTATTATGATTTTTTTTATAGATTGCACATTGTAAATAATTTACAAACTTAAATGAATATAACAGTAAAAATTGTCCAAAATAAAAATGAAGAATTTACAGATCAGTCATGTAATAGTTCACTCTGTGTCAAAATCAAGAAACTTATATTCGTATAATTAGAATTCTCAAAGTAGAAAGAGGTAGGCAATAAATATTTAATGATTATAAATTTCTGAATTTAGTTGAACTTATAACACTGCATTTCCAAGAAAAATGAACCTTTTGCACAAGAAATTTGAATAAAATCATATCCAGATACACAAAAATGAAATTTTCCAAAACTTATTTTAAAGAAAAAAACCATTAAAGCATATACATAAAAAAAAATAGTTATGGAAGTACAAGATTAAATAGCATCTTATTCCACATTAGAAAGAAAGAAAGAAAAAAAAAAGACCAAGTATGTAAGAAACTAGACTAATTAAAGGACTGAAAGAAAGGGAAAAAAACCCAGATCTGTCCTCTTTGAATTTTATACTTAGTAAACATATCTTTGAATACCTCCAGACGTAGCATATTGGAAATAACAAAGAGCCTAATTCAGAAGGCAAGAGATGTTGCTGTATGCTCCTGGATGAAGAATAAAGAACTCTCAAAGTGATAGTTCTGCAGGACTATGTAAAATATATTAGATGAACCCATTTAAAAGGTCATTAAAGATTTCTGTGAAACAATATCAATTTTATGTCGGGTTATACACATTTTTTTTCATATGTGTGTTGTATAAAAGATAGGGAAGAAGTAATATAAAGGTAATATAAGGTCAATGGAAAATGGAAATACACTTTTTAAAGTTTCTATTACTAGGAGAAAATATCATACCATGTCTTTTTTTATTTATTTATTTATTTATTTGCAGAACCGGGGATTGAACTCAGGCCCTTGCACTTGCCAGGGAAGCATTTATTCCACTGAGCCATCTCCCTGGCCCTATACCATGTCTTTTAAGTAGATTGTAGATATATAGTATAAATCTTAAAACAAAAATTAAGATTAATATTCAGAAAATTAAAGTTAATTAAAAATTAAATGTTTCAAAACAATTGCACTAAGAAAGAGTTTTTCATTATCGTAAAGAATTACTAAGAATAAAACATAAGATACTTACTGGAATGACAAATAAATGACCAGCACTTCTAACAGTTTGGGGATAGGATACTGCACAAAGTTCTAGTGTGTCATGGACATGGACAGTGTCCATGATGCTTACTGGTGGGTAGCTGTCACTTGTAGGACTGAGCTACTGCTATTTCCTTGATATCCACCCTATAGACCCAGACAGAATCATGATCTATAGGATGCAGGAGGAGTCCATTTGTAGAGTATGCTGATGGAAATATCTAGCTGCTGTATACAAAAGAATAACTGAAAGACTTCTTTTTTTTTCTTTCTTTTTTTTTTTTTTTTTTTGGTGGAACCGGGAATTGAACTCAGGCTCTTGTGCTTGCCAGGCAAGTGCTTATTCTACTGAGCCATCTCCCCGGCCCCTGAAAGACTTCTTTTGTATACCTCTTATTCTTCTGTGTGTGTTTGCCCTATTTGGTAGGTCCTTTCCATTCTCATTCATGGAGTTGTGGTCATTTTGCTCCCTCTCTCTAGAACATCTTTTAGTAGTCTGTGTAGATTTGGCTTTGTCATGAAGTTCTTAAGTTGTTGTCATGGAAGTATTTCATTTCTCCATTATACTTGAAAGAGAGTTTTTCAGGGTGTATCAGTCTGGGTTGCAATTTGTTTTCTTGCAAGACTTGAAGTACTTTGCTCCATCCTCTTCTTGCCTTGATTGTTTGTGAAGAGAAATCTGCTGTTATCCTGATGGGTTTTCCTTTAAATGTGATCTGTTTCTTTTCTTTAGCAGCTCTTAGTATACTGTTCCTGTGCTGAATTTCTGGGATCCTGATTATTATATGTTTGGGTGTGCTTTTAATTGGGTTGATGTTATTTGGAGTTATATATGCTTCAGTTACCTGAATGTCAGATAGTTTCCCCATATTTGGGAAGTTTTCTGCTATTACTTCCATCCATATTCTTTCAATATCATTTATATGGACTCCTTCCTTCTCACTGATGCCTGTTATCTCACCTTGTTCATCTTTGCATCATCTTGTAGGTATTGAATTATTTTTTCCTGCATCCTAGTTGTTTTTAAGAGATCTTTTCTTACTTTTTCATTAACTGCAATGGTATCTTTAAGGTCTGAAAGTCTATTCTCACTTTCATTCAAATGGTTTGCCAGCTTGTGATTGAGGTTTTAAATTCCTGTATATCACTTTGGATCTGCTTCATGCATTCTATTTCTTTCCTATATTGCTTATTCAAGGATTCCATCATTTTTATATTCTGCTCTATTTTTTAATCAGTGTCTACTTTAGAAACTATTTCTTTCATTATAGTTATTTCTTACTTCAGAAATTATTTCTGATCTCATTTCCTCTATACCTTTCTGCAGTTGTTTCCTTACTTCCGACGCTATTACTTTAGAGATTTCAGGTGTGTGATTTCCAGTTTCTTCTATGCTAGTGTCTTCTGCATTTGTTCTGGATAGGCTCAGGGCCTGAGACTTCATTTTGTTCCTTCTCTTTGTCATTTTCTGCAGCACTGTCTTCTGACCTTTGGTGTAGAGCTTGGATAGAGTTATTACTTTAGCACCAGGTCCGGATCTACCAAGTTCAAACTCATACAAGTGGTGTGGCTTGGATCTGGTTGCTGTGCTCCACTTCTTGCTGTTGCAGCCTTTGTAGTTATACCCTCTGTGCCACTCTGGCAAGATGTTCTGTTCCTGAATCAGCTGGGTGGGTCTTGCCTCTAACCTCTTTGCAGGGAGTTCTGCTGCAGGTTCCATGCTAGGCCTGGGCTCTGGGTCGAATGAGGGTCTGGTGGGCCCATGTTGTCTCACTCACACGCTGGGCTTGGGCTCTGGGTCAAAGGAGGATCCGGCGGGCCCCGAGTCCTTTCACTCAACACGCTGGGCCTGGGTTCTGGATCAAATGAGGATCCAGTGGGCCTGGGTTGTCTCACTCACATGCCAGGCCTGGGCTCTGGGTCAAATGAGGATCCCGTGGGCCCCGGGCAGTCTCACTCACACACTGGGCCTGTGCTCTGGGTCAAATGAGGGATCATTTCTATAGTATGTTACCAGCTATGTGATCCCTCTCTTACTTGGAAGCTTCAAGCTTTTAACTTGGATATGAAATAAGAAAACAAAGATGAATGCTGAGTCTTTTTGAGAGTCAGCACTTGTAACACAGAGAGACAGTGCTTAATCCTCCAGTTGGTACAGCCCAGACGCTGATCCAGTGGTTTCTAAGTTCCTCTCTCCTTTGTTTAGGTGGGCAAAGCTATTTCTCCTCTTAGATCTTTCATGAGGCAAAACATAAGCAGGCCTGCATGTCTTGGGTTGAGTCTATGTATCTTAGCTGCTAAAACCCTGTCTTCCTAAGTTTGGGCAGTAGATTATATGTCAACTAGGTAATGTTTGATGTTTGTGTTCTTTTAAGTTTTTTTATTTTTTTATTTTTTTATTTTTTATTTTTTTTAAATTACAGTACTCTTTTTTTTCTCAAATTTTTATTTATTATTT